TGAGTTTTTCTTTCAGAATATTTAAAATCTACAAAAGTACATGAAAGTGTGTTTAATTGTTCCCTCCTCTCTCTCTCTCTCTCTCTCTGTTTTAAATAAAATTATAAAATTCAAAGAGGAAACATAATACTAAATAATACTATAAATATTACTATATAATATTAAAAAATTTCGAAATCTGAAATTTATATTTTTCATTAATTATCATATAATGTTTGCTCATATGCCCTTCTTATTTGTAAGAAAATTCTGAGATATTTTGGCAATTTTATAAAAAGTTAAATATTTTTATAACTTTTATGATTATTATTTATGTTTAACTTCAGTTTTTTCTTATAATAATGTATAATAAAATATCGTATTAATCGTATAAGATTAATTATTTCAATACATGCATACAATCAATAAACAAAATTTTATTTGTGTACATATGTTAAATAATTATGCCTTGTTATAATAATGAACTTGCAAGCCTCTCGCAGCATGCGCAACATCGGCTATTCTAATGCTTGTGACAGGAATAATGGAAATGAAACATGCCGATGAATACATCGATGTTACCGAATTTACTGATGAGGAAATACTGGAGCATCCCATCTTTATTCATAATTTTGTGATGTGTATATTATCAATCTTTGTCATGACTCTTTATGCGATTCAAGCTTGGATTCTCTTTGATTATTGGCAATGGGTACGTAAGCGTAAACAAAAAGAATATTTTCTGCAAAATATTTTTGTGTTTTTACATTATTAGCCTCCAATGTAATAATATATTTCTGTTATATTTGTTTAAAGGTCTGTAAAATGTGAAGTACAAATACAGTTATTTACTAGTCCAAATTTTTCAGGAAACTAGAAACAGCTAAAGTGTCTTTAAAAAAATAAATTATCAGCAATCATTAATTTTATTTTAATTATGAGAACGCGATTACGATTTAAAGAATTAATTTAAAATTATATATACACATACATACATATATACAAATATATAAAGTAACTACGCAATTCTAGATTCGAGAAGAGGAAGATATAAGTACAGAAAGTGATACGCAAACTTCTGATTCTAGTACAGATTCTGACATAAGTGAAAAATCCATAAATGAAGAAATGATCAATAAACATAGTTCCAGACACCGAATTATGCAACTGGCACCGATTCCCTCTTTACGAGATTTGTCTGTCACCACTCTGATCACTGATGATTTTATCGTAAGAGTGGCAATTGATTCTGTTTACTATACAATTCTATCGACGTTTTAGATCTTGAAACAGGTCATGTTTTATTATGTTAAATAAGAAAAAGGAGCATTTTGTATATGTATTCAGATATACAATAAGAATTCAATCTTCAATTCTATTTTCATAGAATGACGTTTTAGTTCTGAGGTTATCGAATAATCAACAGAATGTTTTAAAAGACCTAAAGATTTTAAGAAATCTAAATTTTTAAGATTTTTTAGAGATGCAAAGATCAAAAAGATGCAATATATGTATATGTACATTAAAAAACCTGTATTAACATATAAAAAAAATTATTTAAAGAATATAAAAATTTGGAAATTCTTTTTTTATTTGAAAATTTTTTTATAATAACAATTTGGAAATTTTTGGTTATATATAAATTTTATTCTTTTAGGAGATAGATACCGAACCAATCCTTTATTGTTGCTTTATCGATTGGTGCAATTATATTAAAATAAAAATGAAAAGTGAACCAAAGCATGAGTTTCAAGTTATTCATGTTATGTAACATCTGGGAAGAATTTTCAATAATTAATTGAAAAAAATTGAGAATAACAATTGTGCTAACATGTACTACTCTCATCATTGTCTCTTTAAAACTTCAAACTTAACATCTATTACGCCATCTTGAGAGACTGGTAAGTGTCAGCCAACCAAGATGCTCTGCGAATAAAACAGTCAATTTATAACAATACTAAACTGCTTGTAAAATAAATGTCTTTACTCCAATCTGCAATTTTTGTTCATATAATTTGTATTTTTAATATTTTTATATTTTTAATATTTTTTGTATTTATTATATATATATAATATTTATTTTATATACTCTTAAACACAAACAATTTTACACATTTTAATATATTTTTTTGTAATTTATGTATATGGCAATTTTGATGATGTCACAATATGCAAATACCCTATAATAATTTTTCGCGGAAATTATTTATATCGATCACAAGAATATTAAAAAATATTAGAGAGATTCGTAGAATTCAAAGAATGCATTTATATCAAAGATTGAAGATTTGTATAAAAAAAATATATACATTCGTTTAAATCTAAAGTGATGCAATTTTTCGAGAAATTCGATGTCCTATATTGTCATTTCAATTAATTATACTATTAATAATTATATCAACAATATGTGCATTGTGTTTATATGATAATTATAAATTTGTTTTTTTTTTGCATTATTATTTATGTTATAATTTGCAAGGAGAATTTTATAATAAAATTCTATAAAAAAATTATATGTATTATAGATCCACATAGCTTAATAATGTTTCAATTTAATTTATTATTTATTTAATATTAATATTTAAAATACGATATTACCATGTAAAGTTGCAGACATATATGTATATATGTATGTGCAAGATAGTGTTGAATATTCATAATATTCATAATTTATAACATACAATTTAATTACTTTTAATATACAGAAATATTGGTAAGTCATATAAAAATATTATAAAAAAGATATTCGAAAGTCTTTTTTATGCATTAAGTGAAATTTACGAGATATCAAGTTCGTGATAATCTAGTAAAAAAAATACGCGTGGTGTATTATATATCGCAAGTAATTGGCAAAGAAGGCTAATGGAAGCAAACGTGAACGATCGTGGGTAATTTACTGGTGGTACACAGACACATACATACGGAAGATACGAATAAGTGCAACGATAGAAATAAAGATGGTAAAAAACATAGCATGAGCAGGCAAGTTGGAGTCGGACAGTTGTGAACGGGGTGCAGAAGGTTTAATAGGCACAAGTATTTTATATATGTGAGGTATTTCGAAGTTGCTCGAATATATAACATTACATTCTTCGCACATGTGCAATATGCATATATTAAAGATATAATTTATATATATTAAACATATGTACCTATATTAAGCTCAATTCATATATATATATGTATAAAAAAATTCTAACTTAAATTTTAATGATAGATCCTTCAAATAAAGTTGATTTGTATTTAATTAAATACTATCAAGTATTAAAATAAAAAATAATCAAAAATATAAGCGCACTTGGATGATATTAAAACATTTTTGTCTACTTAAAATTTTTTTTATAGATATTTATAATTTAATATATAATTTCTAAAATATTCTTAATATCCTAAAATTTTTTCTAAAACAGTATTCAAAGTTGCATATATTATAAATAGAAGTTTAAAAAACAAATAAACTGTTAAAAAATTAATTATACAAAAATACGTTTAAAAAAATTTATTATAGTTTAAAAAAAAATTTTACGCAAATTTATATAAAATGATCTTCAGTTTTTTCTTATGTCAAAAACATTTGGAATGTTATCCTGCCAAGAGATTCTAGCACAAAAATCTTGATTTATTATGTGTTGCATATGTTGTACGAGCTTTTAAATTGAGGAAAAATAATATAAATCGAGAAATAATAGATTTAAAAAAGCTCTTAATATTAATTGTTCAAAAGTTAGAATACTTCCCAAGGGTGCTAGGTTCTCTCTCTGTAATATTCCGGAAGTTATTCATATATCATTGTAAAACTTGAAGCGCCAGCATACGTTTTAATATTGTTTGGATCACTACAATACATGACGTCATCGAAACGAACGATGATGTCACGCTCGAAGTGTAGATTCGATATAATTTTTTAATTGAATTTCTGGATATTCTTTTTATCTTAAGTGTTAGACAAATGATATTATATAATTACATTATGTGAAATAGCAAAGCAAACAATTATTAAATGGACTCTTTGCGATAAGAAAAAATAAATAGCTAATTTATAGCCAGACAAATTAATTAATAATAATATAAGTATGCTGTCTTCTAAGCTGGGCAATAGAGCCAAGGAAACGAAACGAAAAATTAATTAAACGGAACTGTATCTCAATTTGAGATCCCAAAGTTCCACATATAAATTAATTTCGAAACTTACATATGGAGAAATAAGCGAGAAAAATATAGGTCCGAAAAGTCGCTGAAGCGGGAATCGAACCCGCGTCTTTCACTTTCCGGGCGACTGCTCTTACCATAATAATAAATAATGTTAATTAATAATGTTATAATTATTTGCGCAAATATATTATTTTAATTGAAAGATTTATATATATATATATAGGCATGGAAAAATAGCGGAAGTAATTGAGGAAAAAATTTTTGAAACATTCTTAACATGATATACAAATGAGAAAAATAAACATAAATAATATTTTAATTATTAAAATGAAAACTTTAGAAAAAATATACTATATCATACTTTAGTTATATAAAATAATAAAAGTATGTCTTCAACATTTATTCGATATATTAAAAATGTTTTAATTATTGATATTTACAGTATTTATATAATTTATAGAGTTATAGAGCATCTCATCGGTATGTAAGACTTAAAAAAAAAAAATAATAAAAAGAGATCATTTTTACGAAAATATAATTTACGAAATATTTGTTGCTATATTCAACTCTTTTTAAATTAAAATTTTTATGAACAAGAATACTTATTTTTTAAGAATCATGATCTTAATAATACTATGTTAATTTGCTATTTTAAGTTCACGTTTCGTTTAAGTTGGTTAAAAACCATGATAAAATTGTATAGTAACATTTGTTGAGCTAAAAGAAATCCACAGCCAAAATGAGTGTCACTGGACCATAGCGTCCATATGGTCACCCGGTGTGTAAACACCATGATGTAAAGTCAGCGCATTTCCGTCAATGGTAAAAATTGAGGCTAGCTCCGACGCGCCTCCATAATGCGTAGTCGGTCTTTTCAGCATCAGTCGTCGTTGAACCTTCGTCTCGTAAGCGACTCAGTCACGACCGTCTGTGAATCGAAACCGCGAACACGTAAGTACGCTATATTACGACGCCAAACACGTCCGACCTCCTGAAGCGTAAATGAATGACCACTTTAATTATTTTTGCTTTCACGTTCCTTACAAATCGCAAATTTTACGGAAACACTAATATATCCGAAGAGGATTAAGACGCTTCTTCCGACGCGTCTCATTCCTTTGTTCGTGTTATCCTTTTGTGTGCCGGTTTATGGGTCGACTGATCTTGACCGGTCGGGATAAAGATATTAGAATAACAATATAAACAGTTATAAAGTTTAAAAAGTATAGCATATTATGTAAATAAAATATAACCGATTGTAAAACTAAATGCTAAAATTATTTTTGAATACATTTAGTAAAAAAAAAAAAAAAATAAAGAGAGAGAGAGAGAGAGAGAGAGAGAGAGAGAGAGAGAGAGAGAGAGAGAGAGAAACATGTAGACTATAGAAAGAGAAATATTTTGCTTGTCGAGTTATGTGGATGATGTCATACGTGAGTTATATTTTTGTTTTTTTGTAAATGACAGTTTACTGAAAAAATATGTAAATGAATTTATTAAGGTTTATAATTGTGCATATTAATACGCAACACAATATTTTTTAACCGATATAATTGTAGAATAAGGCAAAATATTTACAAATTAAAAATAAAAATACAAAAAATACATTAGTAATATGTATATAATATTAAAATATTATTAAATTTACTGTTTATAAATTTTGGAGCATCTTTCATATAATTTTACTTTTTAATTTATAAAATGTCAATTAAGTAGATAATATTAATAAGAATTTCTTTAATCATCCACACACACACACACACACACATCCCTATTTTATTTCAATATATTTTGAAAAACATACTCTAACTCGAGAAAAAGAATGAGAAAAAGAGAGAAATTTAAAAAAATGATATAAAAACGGAGTCAAGGCAGATTCAAGCAACGTGAAAGTGTTTTTATTTTGGATATAAAAATGCGTTCCCCTTACGCGATATATGACCGCGATTTACGCCTTAACGCTTAATTTACGTCGCATACTGGTTTGAAATCGCGGATTATTGAGAATAATAACGAGATCTTGTTACCCATATCAGGTTTTCAACTTAATTGTGCGTTGCGATGAAAACAATCCGAACGACCTACATTTTCATGAACGATGCCGATTCAGATTGACATTAAAAAATCTTATTAATTCGTGAACTTAAATCTTATTTTTGCGCGTGTATGATATATTATATTATATACATATGTATTTTTGCATTTGTTCTCTTTTATAACTGAAGATAATTTCTATGTGTCTTTATGTTCTGATAAAATGTATCTTAATACTTCTAAATATACATTAAGATAACTATTTGTGAGGTTTATACAGATTAATTGGAAGAAAAATAAAAATGATTGATTTTGAAAAAATATATATGTACATCTATTAGTGTTATTTTTTTATTACAAATTAATAAGAGCAGAGATTTCCACTTATCGTATAAAGATGATTCATTAAAATATCGCTATATAATTTCTTTGATGAGTCAAGTAATCGCGATTTAAAAAATGTATTACATCATTTGACACACTGTGACGAATAAGTATTCTTATTCAATGACGATATAAATGTGCAGGACACATCGCTATTTCTACTAGTTTCGTTGTATTCTACCTATCTTGGGTATGTCATGGTCGTGCTGATTCATTTATGTTATTAACTGACATTGAAAAATGATGTAAAGTTTATTTTACATTTAGTGCAGTTAAGCAATAACTATTTTATTAATTATAAATTGATATATGATTATATCGTGAGTGTACATTTTCTGTGAAAACAATTCACATAGTCTCCTAACTTTGTAAATATCTCGAAAATATTATATAGGTATTTAAATTCAAATATAGTATTATATAGTTGGTTGTTATTATATTTTAATCATATCACGGTTTGATATTATTTTTAATTCCAAAACTGTATAGTGTGATATTTTGATATCTGATGAATGATGAAATAATTTTTATTGCCTTTCTGTAAATGTATTTATTATTATTAATTTAATGTTGTAGCATGTCTAAAATTTTTATCATGTAAAAATAATATCAAATTTTATCACATAAGAAATAATACGAAAAATTTATAAAAATAACTTCATATAAAAAGAGAAGTATGAAAGAAAATGTAAACATGTTGACAATACGCTAGTGTAATTAATTAATTAGAACATTGAATTTAAATTTTCAGCTATTAAAAAATGATAAATGCAGTCATTATATATTAAAATTATTGTAATCATAATTCAACTGTTCCATATTAATTATATGTATAAATCATTAAAATATTAAAGCATATGCAAGCATTAATTAACATATCTCATCAAATAGTATATATATTATTATTTTGTAATATGTTCACGTTTTTCTGCACATACAAAAGCGCAAAATAACTTCACTTTGACTGAATACTACGCATTTTCGATCTCGTTTACGCGACTTTAGTCTAGCTATATTGATTATCATGTCTTCATTCTTCTTTATGATTCGCATTATATTTTCATGCGATATACATTCTGTCTACTTATAGTCGCTATATTTTCTTTCGTAGAGTGCGTGTCCATCCATATCCATCAATGATTTTTATATAAAAGTGCATAAAAACATGTTTTCATATATTTAAACAAACATAACATGAAAAATTAATTAATTAATTTTTTTTCTACTTACAGATCAGACAAAATGGCTACTATCACTAGGTTGTCGATCGTAAAATTCCTCGAACTTGTAAGTATATTAATAAATTTAAGTATTTTTAGTATTATTTATATATATAAGAGATATATATATATATATATATATATATATATGAGATCATATGTATCTTTTTAATTTGATTGACATCTTATCATACTTTAATTTCAAGTATAATATATTATTTTTTTATCTTTACGTAAAATGCAAGTTTTTTTTAAATATAAACATTAACATGTATAATTACTATATTTGGATGATATATTACAATATAAATTGTACGATTAATGTAATTGACTTTGAAAACAATCTATTGCTCTTCTATCGCGTTATAACTAAAAAAAATTATTGACGTCGTATAATCAGATTCTCTTTTAATGAATAAGCTCAACAACAGACTATATGATGTTACGTTACAAAATATTAATTAACATCATTGAAAACAACGAGCAACTAGCAAATTCTATTGCAATAGGATAATAATTTATTTTAACGAATTCATATATTCTTAGAATTTAAAATTATGTGAAAATTCTTGAAAATATACAAGATTCGATGTCAAACTGCATAAATCTGTCGGTGTTTCTTGCACACATGTATTTTGAGCCGCAAGAGAAACATTATCCTCGAGGCCGTTTGATACTCCTCTAAGAACTCCATCACTAGCGCTTTCAAATTTATTTTTAACGATACTGCGCTGTTCTTTCCGATCGATCGACCTAATTTCGAAATACGTATATCGCGATTACGTGGATCGCGCTTCTCTGAGATCAAGAAAATCGATGAACGTCAGTGTAAGACTATTGTTGGGTGGTGCAGCATTCCGTGCTGCATATTTTTCGCGATTCGTAAGGCGACGAGAATGGAGAGTGACATAATCGACGCTGATTACCGCACAAGAGCGTTCTCTTCTCTTATTATGGTCCGCTCCGTATCGTCCGGAAGTTGACCTGTATGAGAATTTCCGTTAGAATTCTTTGGAACTACGGGTCATAATGCGAAAAGGCTCTTGTGCAGCAAGCGTTTCTTAGCCATGTTTTTTGGTGAAAATTTTAGTTCATTATTGTTTTGAAATGTATATACCTATATTGTATATTTTATCTTCTATTAATTAAAATTGTTGACAGTATATTCATATCATTTTTATATTATTAGAAATGTAAAATGTTAAAATACTAAATCTGTAAAATAAATTAATAATTTTAAAAAATTTTATTTTTATTGCATAAAACAATAAACTTTTGGAAAGTTTCTCTTGATGAAATTAATTTTGGTGAATATTTATGTAATTTTTTTTATAAATTATTTCAAACTCTTAGCATTGAATTTGCGATTTTTTCAATTGCGCCGGAACAAGTAATTTGTAAATGAAATTTTATAAATATAATTGATAATAAAATTTTAATTTTAACAGGCTAGTAAGAGACAAACGCAGAAATGCACCAATTTCAATAAAAATTAATTTTTCGCACTGAAAGTAATTTGTTGTAACAGGGTACATATTTTTTGGTGTAAAAATGCACTATTTTCTATAATTATTTTTTTAGTAAAATAGAAGAATTCTTCACACCGCTTGTTGATAAGCAATAAACAAAAAATATATTCGCATTTATAAGCGAAAAGCGTGATATTTAAAAATTGCTAAATGTTATTATATTACACGCATTATATAAATACAAAAGAGAATAATAATTGTTATGTTTGTACTTTTATCATCTTTTTCTAAAAATTATTCTACATATAATAAAAAATTAGCAAGATGCTAAAATGTATACCTAGAATTCGTAATAATTGAAACGTATAAATAAAAATTTGTGCTGCTTTCTTTACTTAACACATTTGTCTAGAATTCATATTTACATCGCTAATATATGTATAAACTACGCTGCTATTTGATGCCACTCCTCAATCTGGCTGTAGTAAGCACGATGTATAGTATCGCGTGCTTATCGTATCATATACACGTGGGTGACCCAAGCTCAGGACTCTTTAATAAGATACATTCAGAATCAGGCATGTGTTTATCGCATCAAGGGCGACTGGTGTAATTTTTAATGTTGACGTTAGAGATGACTTGGAGATGAAAATTATATAATTGTGTAACATGAAGTAGTTATAAATCAAGTCTACATTTTTTATTCAACTTTTATTAGCTAATTATTGAAAAAATTGATATTATTTTTTTACATTATTATTATTCTTATAATTAAAAGAAAATGTTTTTATGTTATAAGAATAAAAATTAACATTTTTTTATTAATAGAGAAGTCTATTTTATATACATATACAAAATGTTTTTATATGATTATATAGATACTTTAAGAAATTTTTATAATTTTTTTGGTTTTGAGATTTTGAAATATCAAAAACGTCATCTGCTCATCCTAGTTAACAATATACTGAAAAAATAGATTCTCTATGTATATCTTTATAACTGTGTTAATCATTCGACGAGCTAGGTATATCGCACGATTCAATTTACAAGTCGACCTGTTGCCTGGAAATAAAAGTTGTTTTCCAACTAGGGCAATAGTGGGCAATATTTTATTTATAATGGGATTGCGAAAGGGTCAATGTACTCTGTTCGAGTCAACCTAGTTTTGTGAGCGATATCCACATCTTTACTTTGGCGAACAAAAATAACTGTTATTGTTGTATATAATTATTAGGGATATTATAAATCGAATAATAGGAATAAAATTTAACATGTAGTTAAAAAGTTGTCTATTTTTAATAAATATCTCCTTTTAATTGCAGCTCTTGGTGTGCATTCTTATCGGATTGCACTACAACTCTTTCAATGCGGGAGATCAACATACTGCAATGATAACCATGGGTACTTTCGGCGGATACCTAATTATCTTGGTTGGCTTGTTCATTGGCAGTGTGATGGGAACGCCGGTCAACCGCCGTGTGGTATGTTGAGGCAGATTAATATTATTGACACAATAGATAGATATTGCAAAAAACCTATTTTTTATTCTAGAGAGAAATCGTAATATAACAATTAAAATAAAAATAATTAAAATTAAAGATAGAATTTAAAAATTGAAAAAAATGTATTTAAATATATAATTTATAATTTAATAAGTAAATTTCATAGGCAAGATATATTGTCAAGTTTAGAGTTAATAACAGTAGTATAATAATTTCAATTTCTTTATTTCTTAGGACCTTTTCTTTTCTCTCATTGGATGCGCTTTGTTCATCGCCGCGGGTTCGCTGAACATCGACTATTTCCAGAAATTGGTGCACAAGTCATCTTTCCGCGATACCGGTTTGGCCAAAGGTTCTCTCAGTATTATCGAGGGCATTGTTTTCCTCGTAGATGCTTTTCTTACGTTTCGGGGAGAGAATTGAAACCTGAGTCGTCTTCAAGTATAACAGGGGACCTGCACGACTCCTCTATCGGTGTTAATCACATTCCGCAATCGACGGAAATCTTTTATGTAAAGGATATACTGCCAAGAACTTCCTTGATATGTCAAGGAAGCTCTTTTTCTATAGTCCGGTAGCCAAAGAAAATATTTACACAGAAATCGTATGGCTTTATCAAGCTTCGTAAAATTCATGATTCATACTTTTTATCACTTTACGCGAAATGTTTATTTTATCAATTTTTCTGAACATGTTTTTTTTAATTTGAAAATTTTTTAACTTGAGAAAATTCTAATCTAAAAACTTTAAAAAATTTCTTAAACTAAATTCATTAGTTTTCTTCTGTTATTAGAGAAAAATTTCCTATTTAAAAATTAAATTCTTAAGCAATATAACTTTGCGATATACTTAACACCGATGATAGTACAAAACGTGCAAGGATCACAAAGACGACAATTATATTTATGTATTTCATATATATACACACATCTATATATAATATGAATATTAATATTAATAAGTGGCAGTTTTTTTAATAGAAACAGGCCAGTCGATATTATAATCGTTAATAATAATGTATTGATATTATGCAGTTATAAGTTTAAGTTATGCAACTATTAGAACAGATTTGACAAGAGCAGCAGCAGCAAAAAGAAGAACGCAATAAATATTATGACATGTTTTTATATGTAACACTAATTACGTGTTATTCAACATTAAATATATATTCATCGCGACAGTCTCGATTTGTTCGTCAACTTTTCACGTGGATATTTAATATTTACTTTGATTTGTACGTTTTTACGTTAAGATTTTAATAATAAAGAGTTAAGAACAGAACTAAGAAAAATGTATATCTATTTTCACATCATTTCTCTGATGTTTTTCATCTCATCTATCGAATTCGTTGCAAAAAACGAAAATATTTGAATGCCACTCGCATGCTTGTTATCATGTTGCACAAACTAGACGTGACGTTATACAATAAAGTAGAAAATTTCACATGACGTAATTTTAACTCTAAGATTGGGCAAAAGATAAGAAAGTGAAACTTTTTTATTCTTAAAAAACAAATAGATCGAGTATACTAATTAATACTTCTTAAGTCTTATTCAATTAACTGTACATATTGTTTTTATATTATTTTATTTTTATATTATCCTATTTTTCTTTTAGATATTTCATCCTTATTTGAAACACAGTATTACATTTTATTATATTCTATTGTTTAAAGAATGCATTATTTTTCATTTGGTTATCTTAGATTCTTTTCACAGACTTCTATTAAGCATTTTTTTCTTCTTTTAACCATTTCCACTTATATAAAATTGTTAATTGACCGCTAATTCTCCCTTATTAAATTCAAAATTTTTACATAAAAATAAAAATTTTTATAAATAAACTTTTCTAACCGTACGCTTATCAACGCCAATAATTTTTATGATGTGCAAAAATTTATTATAATACAATTGTCTTGCTAGAAAATTTACTAAGATAGAATATATTTGAAATATTTATGTTAATCAATAGAAAAATGTAGTATTTAAGTCAGAATTAGAATCCATCCCTAAAATGTATATAAATAATGTTACATTTAGTATATAAATAATATTTTATAATCAGTATTTTTCGTAAAAAATAAAAAAAATTGCAACAGAATAATACAAGTTAGTTTAATAATAAGAAAAGATATATATAAATGCGATATACTCATATATATTTTAATGGAATTATATATGTTATATATATTTCAATGGTATTATATATATTATTTACAGTATGGGTGCGTTCATGTTTCGCGCTAAAAGCGCTCATAATCGTTTTATGTCCACGATTTAAAAATTGAATTTAAAATGTCGAGATCGATTCGAGAGATCTCGAATCGTATCGAGGAGTCGATGTGCGATAGTATCGTAGTGGGTAGCGCGTCACGAGAGGCCGCTGATACGCACGGATGCATATGTGTGCGTGCGATGCGAACGAAGTAGTGAGTCGATTGTGAGAGTGGAACCGAGTAAGTGCATCGTCGCCGTCGCGCGTTCTTGGCAAGGGCAATCCGTAAACTTTATTTATCAATTATAGCGCGGATGCGCGGTGCATAGCGTTAAATGTGCGTGGAGGATGTCGAATCCGGGCGGTAGCAGGAGGAATGGAGCCATGAAGATCCGTCTGACAAGTGAGTGTGGCGTTATTCCGACATTGTCGGGGCGTTATGTGTGAAAGTCGCGGCTTTGCACGCACGAGAACACCTACCTACCTACCTACGCTGCGGCCTGTTTTTGTTGTGCATCATTCAATATGGCCTCGCGCGTGCTAAATCTCTCCCGGGGAGGGCTTCTACGCGAAATGTCAAAAATCGTTCGGGGGTATCTGCGTATCCTGCACGAACGATCCGAGTTTCGTCGTAGCTCCCTCGTCCCCTTTGGTTATGTGCCCACTTCCTTCGGAGTCGACCCCACTGTGAGCACTCTCCGGGAGACCGATGAAGACGTTAATTGTCACAAAGTGTCTGTCTTTATTAATGTATTATTATTTCCATAGCCTTGACAAGCCTTATACAAGAAATTTTTGTGGGGTATTATATGCTATGTCAATTTGATGCGGAGCATAATTGTCATTATATTTTAATGAGAATATTTTAGAATTAAAAATAACAGAAAGAATAGGCTCTTATAATCAGCTGATTATCTTGTTAATATTTTTTTGCCATTCTATATATATTTAATTTCTCTCTTTGATGATCTCTCTTCTATTCGTGTTGTAAAGGCCGCTTTATCATTATTACAATTTGCATGAGTTATAACATTGTTGATATATTAAGCTTAAATTGACTTCATCCTAATAACAAAGATAATAGCATTCAATTATAGTAGATCAAAGAATATTATCCTATTTGTAACAAATATAAAAAAAAGATGACAGATATAAAAAGACAATAGAAGTCTGCTACATTATTACACAAATTGTAAATTATTAAAACAAATTTTGTCTTCTAAAATTTTGTGAAATTGGATTAAATATTATATTAATGTAGAAAAATAGCATATTTAATTTAATTGTCATTATAATGCATACATGTATTTGTACAATACATGAAAAGTATCAGATTTAAAATATATTTTGATGACATACATACACCCATACACACACCCATTAATTTATTACAGAAATCTATATTTATGATTTTATATGTTTTAGTCTTATGCGCCCGTAATCTTGCTAGGAAGGATTTATTTCGTGAGTTTATTTTTTCTCATAAAGAGTTTAGAGTATGTAAAGATGTAAATAAATAATTGAAGAATGTTTTCTTGTAGGATTACCTGATCCTTTCGCTAAAATAACTGTTGATGGTTCTGGACAATGTCACAGTACAGATACTTGTAAAGCCACGCTTGATCCTAAATGGAATCAACATTATGATTTGTGAGTATTTTTAATTTTAAGCATAATACATAATATATTTTATTATATATTAGTGCTAAAAAAACTATTTAAAAAATATTTTTTTTATACAGATACATTGGAAAAAATGATGGAATTACTATATCTGTGTGGAATTACAGAAAATTCCATAAGAAACAGGGTGGAGGATTTCTGGGATGTGTATGCATATTATCAAATACCATTCAAAGACTTAAAGATACAGGATGTACGTTTATATGTTTGTTTTTTCTATTATATAATTATTTTAATTTTTTCTAAAAAAAATCCAAGTTTAAAATGCCTAAATTATTTAGACTTGTTTTTATGAATTTAAATGTAGTAAGATTTTTGAAGTACTTTCTCATTTGTTTTTTAAGATCAATATTGAATATTTCAATATATCTTTTTAAAGAAGAACACATTTTACATACGGCCTGCAGTTATATTTCCTAAAAATTATATATATATATATATATATATTATATATCTTACAATGTATATATTTTTAGATCAACGTTTAGACTTATGTAAGGCTCGTTCGGATGACACAGACGTTGTGAAAGGGCAAATTGTAGTGTCTTTAATGTCACGGGATGGTCATAATGGTGCTGTAAGTAATACGGTCGGTCATAACGCTGTGGTCGACGTGCTTGGTGATCTGAGTTGTCCGAATGATTTACCGGACGGATGGGAAGAAAGAAGAACCGGAAACGGTCGACTTTATTACGTAAATCATTACACGAAAAGCACGCAATGGATTCGTCCGAACGCTCGGTAATATTCAATATCTATGAATATTATTGAAATATAATATATGTATAATATGAAATTCATTTAATTAATATTTTTGACAGGCCTAGCAATGCTATTATACCAACAACACCAGAACCACCTCCGTTACCATCGTCAGAGCCAACATCCCCTAGCAGTAGCGCGAGCTCGCCGAATGTAAGAAATGAAGAGAGTCCTGCGAGACACACATCGTCCGAATGGAATAACGGAGACGGGACACCTAATCAAACACCGAGTCGAGATCACTCGGCACAAAATACTCCGAGAAATACACCTACGCAACAGCAGCAGCAGAATCGCAATCTGCAGCAGAATCAGTATATAAGGATCGTGACGCCGCCGCCGCCGTTATTGTCCGTCACGAGAGATCGACGCGTCGTTAGAGGAACCGATGAACAAAATGGCAATCAAAACACGAATGGAAGGATAGAACGTGGCCCTAACAGCGGGAGTCAAACGCGAAGACCTAACCGTGTCAACAGAAATAGAAATAACGTTGTGTCAAGTAGCGACAGACGAACTGATCCTCCTCAACCGTTGGATTTACCTCGTGGTTATGGTACGAATCAAATGATATAGTTTAATTTTTTTTTAATACAATACACTACTAAATAAAATAAAATAAACTATATATTTAGAAAGTATAATATTCATATAGCATGAATATAATATAAATTTTATTACATTTATATATATATATATATAATTTATATAGAAATGAGGAAAACCCAACAAGGTCAAGTATATTTCTATCATGTACCAACTGCATATTCTACCTGGCATGACCCAAGAATACCGCGTGACTTGCAAGCTAATGAAGTGGCAAACGAACTTGGCCCTCTTCCTAGCGGATGGGAAATGAGGCAGACTCAGAGCGGACGGGTATATTTCGTAGATCATAATAACAGGACAACGCAATTTACCGATCCTAGACTGTCCAGTCAAATCATAAGCAAACTGTTAAGGTAAATACAGATATGATATAATATTAAATATAGACGAGTATATTTATGATAACACAAGAAAATTAAATTGTTATTCTATTTTTAGTAAGAGGCAGAATAATAATATAAACTGTCAAACTACGAATATTGCAAATAGTACTGTAACAAGCGAAACCACTGAGACCACGGATACAACGAGTTCACCAACGGCTCAATCTAATACACCACAGCAATCAACGAGAAATGAAAATGGAAATAACAATAATTCTCCAACAAGTGAGTTGCAAATTTTTTTCAAAAAAAATTTACAAAAGAAAACTCTTCTTTGCTTTGTGTATATCTTACATATTTGATAACGTTCGTACAATATAGATCACGTAATCTACTTATTTCCAAATAAAAACAAAACAAAACATGTGTTGTCTCGCAGTTTTATCTTATCTACGAACGCGTCTATCTATGTGATTGTTAGGACTGTTAATCAGTCTCGGTTATTTTGTCATTTGGACAGAATGCCGTTTCATTTCGGAAGAGTTTTGTTCATCAGGGCGCATTATTGTAAAGTTTCAAACTTTTAATTCCATGTTAGTGTTATTAGTATTGAAACCTTTCTTTACATTTTAGTGGAAAGCGCGTCATCTCAAAATGCTCAAACAGTGTCAGAATTACCAAAAGAGCTTATGGATAATGAGCTTCTTCCAAAATACAAACGTGATTTGGTTGCGAAGTTGAAATGTCTTCGAGCGGAATTGAATGCGCTTCAACCTCAGAGTGGACATTGTAGATTGGAGGTGTCAAGAAATGAGATATTTGAAGTGAGTAATTTTTTAAATCAGTATATACTCACATCCTTTTCTTTGTTTTAGAACATAATGTGTCAATTTAAAAAGAATTCAGAGTGTTTCTTTTTATGATAATATTTGATTTATAAGTAAATGCTTTGTTCATATAGGAATCGTACAGACTGATAATGAAAATGCGTCCAAAAGATATGCGCAAAAGACTCATGGTCAAATTTCGCGGCGAGGAAGGTCTTGATTACGGTGGCGTGGCACGAGAATGGTTATATCTATTGTCTCATGAGATGCTAAACCCGCAATATGGACTCTTTCAATATTCAAGAGATGATAATTATACTCTACAAATTAATCCGGACTCTGGCATAAATCCGGAACATTTATCATATTTTCATTTCGTTGGGAGAATTATAGGCATCGCCGTTTTTCACGGTCATCACATTGATGGTGGTTTTACGACTCCGTTTTATAAAATGCTACTCAACAAAGGTATAACATTAAATGATATAGAAGGGGTTGATCCGGAACTACACAGAAGCCTTACATGGATGCTGTAAGTAATGTTTCTTTTTTAAAGGAAAATTTATTAATATTTAATTAAAATATATATTGTTGCTTTGGAAACAAATATTATCCTAGATAATTTTGAAAAAAATATTAATTACATTTTTTATTATTAGTGAAAATAGCATAAACGACGTATTGGATGCTACGTTTTCTGTAGAACACAGCAGTTTTGGTGTGTTAAAAAATCACGAATTAAAGCCAGGTGGCAAAGATATTGCAGTGACGGAAGAAAATAAAAGGGAATACGTCCGCTTATACGTAAACTATCGATTCATGCGAGGTATCGAGCAACAATTCCTAGCATTGCAGAAAGGATTTCACGAATTGATCCCTCCTCTATTACTGAGACCGTTCGACGAGCGTGAATTAGAATTAGTTATTGGTGGTTTGGGCACTATCGATATAAATGATTGGAAGATGCATACTCGTCTCAAACATTGCACACCCGATACACCAGTTGTGCAATGGTTTTGGCAGATAGTAGAATCATATGGCGAAGAAATGAGGGCAAGATTGCTTCAGTTCGTTACCGGCAGCTGCAGAGTTCCATTGCAAGGATTCAAAGCTTTACAAGGTAAATATTCACTTAATATCAGATGTTGAGACATGTCACGTTAAAAATATCGTTTAAATTTATCACATTTAAAATATCGTAAAAATTATAGTTGTAACATTTATGTATTGTGTTTGATTATATAGGATCGACTGGAGCAGCAGGTCCTCGACTTTTCACAATTCACGCTGTTGATGCACCGAGCGAAAATCTACCAAAAGCGCATACTTGTTTCAATAGAATAGACATACCACAGAATTATCCGAATTATCAAAAAATGCTTGACAAACTCACACAAGCGGTTGAGGAAACTTGTGGCTTTGCAGTCGAATAATAAATTATGTTCTTGCAATCTTATGATCATTCTATATGCTAGAACATATTTAAGCAATCTGTGAAAACAAACTTTCGTGATAGATAACGTTCTGCAGATTTTGTCATTTCTAAAGAAAACATGTTTATTCTCTATATTGATAAAACACCAAGATGAATTTAGAGGAATTATAGAAAGAAAGTGTTATAAGATATCAGCGATATCTTTTTGACTTATGTACAAATATAAATGGCCTTGCAATTGAATCATGATACTGATCAATACTTTGCATATCGAATGACATATGTCTACTTTTAAATACATAAGTTTGAGTAACGATTTTTAGTAAACCATTGGTCTTTAAATATTATCTGATTCAATAACTCAAGCTGCAGGAAGATGATTATTGTTTTCTGATAAATATTTTGATCATCTGATAAATATTTCGATTCTGATAAATATTTTGATTCTATTTTCTATATTTATAAATTCATCAAGATTTTTATATTCTCTTTTTAATTAAAATCATTAATTTTGTTAAGTTTATTAAAATTAAATTTGTTAATTGAATTATGATATAAATATAAGTCAGTATGCACATATATGTAAGTTTTTGTGGAAGATAAAATCTTCTGAGGTTACGGTTATTATTATATGATGTTTATATTGTACAGATTTTTTATTGAAACACGAAAAAAGTAATATCAAGAATCTCGCGGTTATAAATATAGCACTAGATGATATAGGAAACCAATTCGCACAGCTAACGATACGATTCATATTTGGAAGTTTTTGATTTCACTTTTATCACATGAATATCATTAACGAACTGCACAGTCAATTGAATTCATATCAGTTATCTATCGAATAATAGGATTAATTAGTATATTAGATGGAAATTACATATGAAATTCGTTGAATTTCTAATAGGGGCAGACATCAACTAGACATAATGATAGCAATTTAATATTTTGAAATGTATTGTATTATTCGGCTTTGGTGTCTCTTCTTAGAGAAGTGGAAAGTTTGTACATAAATAATTCTGAACGCAAATGTTAAATTTAAATAAAACAATTATTGTAATTTATTTAAATAGAGTATATATAAAAATAATAACATTATTTTATTATTGGAAAGTGTATTTTTGATTCAGTTAAATTTTTAATTTGGAGTAACAGATATATGATATAAAAAATATAATAAAATATATATTTTAATAAAAATATATATTTTTAATTAAAAAATTGCAAATATTATATAATGTGGTTTATATATATATATATTACAATTATTTGATATCATTGTTATTCATTTTTTTATTTATCCAGATTAGTATTTTGAAATTAATTAATTTTTACTTCACAGGATTATAATAAGTATTGTATATTGTAACATTTTCGTTCAGAACTTTCGTAATGCAATCAGCAAATGTTATCACTGTGTAACTTATGCGACAAAATCATTTGCTGCTTGTTAAGAGTTGATATTACCGAGTGCGTTGACAAGATGTACATAATTTATTAGAGATTAGTGTAATAGAATATTATGTAAAAAATAGCGTTTCACGCGCAGACCCCCCCGAACGTAGTCGATTATGCACGTACGGCTCTGCAATGAAATCACGCTGATTTTAACATTGACACTTACAATCCTGTATATTGGCTTTAATTTTAAAGCATACTTGTTTAAGGAAAGAGTTCATTCGACGGGTTTATGTAAGCTTCAAATGTTTCGATCGAACTGACTTTTTTGTTTGAGAATTTTACGAAACATATTCATATCTTACTAAGCTATTTTTAGTAAGATATAGCGCTACTTCTTTCTTATTTATCACACGAAATCTTCATTTAGTCCAGTTTATAATATTACTGTAAAGATATCTAATTTGTAACAGGCATAAATCACCGATTTGTATAATTATTGCATTATTATATATTTGTTTATTATTATATATCATGCACATACCTGTGATGGAACATATCATAGATGGAAACCACAGTGTGAAGGGCATCTAAATTTTTTCGAATTTTGAGAATTGGTGCATAATTTTATGTTTACTTTTATATACACGATATCATATATATAAAATTAACAAACAACTATATGTATGCACACACACATACATATATAGTTGTTATGTTAATTCGCATATATGTTAAATCTCTTTTGGAATAAAATATTTCCACACATCTTATTGGAATTGCGTAAATTGTCACCTGTTTTCAATGCCCGAAACACAGTCTGAATATTGAATGTTATTATAATGGGGAAAACGTAATTATTGCGACTCAAATAGAATATAGCTCTTACTTAGACATAGCTAAACTCGCCTAAACGGACACTGTTCTAGTAATTCCTATCTTTTCCTGTTGCGTTAATTTCAAATATGTGCACGAATCATAATCTACATTTCTCGAATGCAATGAATGCTTCAATATATATTCTATTAGCGATATATATGCTAAAATAAATCCACTAATTTTTTACGAGATATATAACTGCGCCAAATATGATATAATTAAACAAAGAAGCTATTTTCGATATCTAGAGATTGCGACGAATTTAAGATTAACAGATTACAGACAATTGAGAAAGTTGACAAAAATATAGAGATTTATTGAGATTAAATCAATGCATATTGAGAATAACGAATTTTTATTTTCACATTTGAGATATACTCTTTATATCAAAAAATTTTTACTTAAAAAGACATTTTAAATAAAGAAGAAGTTTTACAGTATCAATGCAAGACTTCTCCCATAATTTCTTCGCTGTTTTCCTTAATCATTATCTTGTCAGTATAGCAATAAAGGTTTTGAACGTGCCTTGTTGTTAGTGTTAAATAACGGAAAAAATGTATTTATACAATATTTTGAGATGTGATATAAATTTATCCTTCTTTTAAAGCAGATACACATATGCATATATTATGACCATATGAATGAATAAAAAAAGAAATGACAGAGTAATAAAAGATTATAATTCAAATGTGAAAAATAGTCAAAGAAGCATTCTAGAAAATTAAATGTCTTATTTAAAATTTTATCTACATAAGTACGTCTCAAAATTAGAATATTATAAATAATTTGCAATTTCTTAAATCTTTTTCTAATTCTCATCTATCATTATGTAAATGTCTCTTTCTAAAAATTACATGTTATACATGTGTATTATGTTAAATGAGTGATATTTAACATCGAAAATTAGATATTTTATTAGAACATTGTGTGTGTATATACATATCTATATATATATATATATATATATATATATATATATATACTTTGTGAATTATGGTATAATTTTAATTATAGTGATGTGTGGAGAATTTCACATATTTAGTAAAAATTATTATATATTGGATGACACAAAATATGATTACTCTGTTGTTTATCAAATATATATTGAGAGGGAAAAAATTATGAATAAAAAAAGAAGAAATAAAAAGAAAACAAGAGAGACAATATTTAGAATTCACGTAAAAAATACATATAAATAAATGTATATTGCATATTAGTATGTTGCACAAAATAAACTTGCTTGCAAGAGATAAGTATTGCGGAGAGATTTATTGAAATTAGAAAGGAGATGCATAAACTTAAATATTATGATTATATAATCTGCAATTTGTTTTATTTTAAACAGCAGTAATCGCGAGTCGCGCTTTTTAATCCTTTGTCGATCTATAATCTATACTGCTGATTCTTTTCTGATTATTAGAATCAGTTAGATAAAGCCTGTGCACAGAATAGTGATGCATCTGATTATAGAAACGATACTGCTTTGTATATACGTATGTTAAAACTTTACCAATTAAATACAATGAGAGATATATTGGCAAAAGTTTAAATACACAAACATTATGAGAAAAAAGATAATAATTAACTTCGCAGTAACAATTATAGATACCCGTCTTTTTTCCTGGATCAATTAACTGACATTATAATATCTAAATTAAAATATGTATTTAAACAGTTCTCTTTAAAAGTTTGTGAAAAATATTGCACAAATTATAAATTAATATATATTATTATTTATAATTTTAGATTGTATGATCGTCTCTCCTTTGTGCTGGTAATTGGGAGATTACGTTATGCGTACTATTATATATTATACATATATTACTGCGAATGTATTATTACAACTAAAATCATGTTACTATATCATTATTGCGCAAGCCTTTCAAAAAATAAATGTATATAATTTTTCCTTTTGTATTCTGGACGAAATGTATATTTTAATAAAATACTAAAAGTATATGAAATCTTCTAATGTGTGTTAATATGAGTTTCTTTATAAAACTTTATAAAACGACTCTCCTCTCCATCACCACTCAGAAGTCGCCGATAAATGTAAATTACGATCCTCACGTCATTCTTATTGGTAAATAGCTGTTAATGAATCAGGTACTGGTTTATTGATCTGCAAAAAGAAACATTTTACATGTTTGTATAATAAAGAAATAAATACAATCTAATTATACAAAAATCAATTTTTTTCTTAATTTTTCCAGTATATTTTTAGGCGTATATATTTCAAATATTTTCTGAATTCTTGTATTATTTAGAAACGTTTTAACATATATACTTACCCGTAAATGATACTTGTGTACTAGCAGAGAAAGCAGCTAATATTATATCTCCAAATTTAGCGCCTGTACTTTTTCTTATTTCACGAACTTTCATTAAGAGCTTCTGTGATTTATCGGCATCATTCTCTAACCAGTAGGACACTATCTTTTCACCTGTCTGTGGTGGACCATGTACAGAGCTGTAAAAACATATATTTATTATGATAAAATTTATTCTTCAAAATTTATTTTACGCAAGACAGAATGAATTAAAAATTTGATATTTGATGAAATTTTATGTAAATAATTTTAATTCCCGAAGTTTCATTATGTACATAATATTAATTGATTGAATTTCTATTATGTACAATTTCAATTATTTATATAATAGAAATACGGCGAATTAAAATTATGTATATATAATAAAAAATAAAAAATAAAAATTGTGTGCATAATAGAAATTGGACGAATTAAAATTATGTACATAATAGAAATTCGGAAATTAAAATTATGTTCTCCCTCATAAGAAAATTATGTACATAATTGATATTCGGCGAATTAAAATTATGTACATTTGCTAATTATATATTATTTATTATTTACGCGTTGAAAATTCCCGCGCGTAGTAACACATGAAATCGGCCGATTCTGACGTCACGGCGTCACTAACTTCAGCCTGCGCCGCCATTAGTCAGTCCAGCGGCAGAGGAGCAGAGGTGCGTCGCGACTGCTCCGTGTCTCGCTGGATTTCGTGCGCGAATTAACGGGAGTGCAAGTCCG